TGATGATGATGATGATGGTGGTGATGATGTTGATGAGGATTCGTATGTTGATGACGATAATGTTGAAGAATGAAGGTACATCTTTTTGACAAGTGATATCCTGTATGAACTCACTGGTTGAGAAGTTTAATACAAAAAATGATGTTCACTTTCCAAGATGACACTCGAGAAAAACCCTTTTGCGATGACAACGCTGCATTATGACTACTGATGTTCATATCAATGGTCATGTTACAATAATGTGACAACCTTCGTATCCCTTGCTGAAAATGAACAATGATGGCGCTAATAATGATGTATACTGATATGCCCATGACAATGTTTGTGTTACATCAATGTGACATGCTTAGGCTTCGTGTCCCTTGCTAAAATGAAGTTCATGATAATGAAGGTGATGATAATGATGTATTACTACTGATGTCTATGTCCATGATAATGTTACATCGATGTGACAAGCTTTGGTCCGTTGCTAAAGTGAACCAAGATCATGATAATGATGCATGCTACTAAATGATGCCCATGTAAATGATAGCTTAACGTCCGTTGACTGACAAAAATTAAGATCATGAAAATGCCATGATGATGAAGTAACACGACAAGAATTCCATCATGAAACGTGAAGAAAGAAATGTCATTCAATGATGATGAGAAGCTGATGCCATAATGTTGCAGCCATAATGCTCATGATCGATGTCCAAGATGAAACTCGCAGGTGATTGAGAGGAATAAGGTGGCAGACACGAGTGAAGGAACAGCAGAACAAGGGCCGTATTTGCAGGTAGGTGCACATTATTTTACCTTCGCATTGGTTTCCTATCCATTGCTGAGTGCATAAACACTTGTAGTTGTTATCTTCTGTGTCGATACACGTTCCCTTATTGAAACAAGGACCGGACGAACACAGGTCTCGTACTAACGATAATCACATGCAGAGAAATAAAGGTATATACATTCAAACAAACAAACAGTTCATGCATTTGAAAGCATATAGCATAGCAGAATAAGGTAATCACAGAGGTCCCATATAAACTGAGATATTGTAACCTTGTATCCTAAAGACCTCTTATAGCATATGTATTCCCAAAGCAGCTCAGTTAGAAAAGCGAAAAATTTGAATCTTCTGATAATCATAAACGATTGATAATTAAAAAAGCCATTAATAAATTGATAATATTTTTTCGCAATTGAGATGCACTTGGAAATACTGAATCAAAAGGGTCCTTTTCAAATACTTGAACAATCAAATTTTGCATAACTGAAAAATCGTGGCATACAGCAAAGGAAGGTATTGGGAGTGGCGTTATGACTACAGCCACCAGAATCCCTTGGACACTTTCTAATGTTCAGTTAAGTAGCACCAATTGTCTTGCTATTCTCATGAGGAAATACAAATTTCAAAAAGAGAGAAAATTCGTTTGAGCATGAATTCTGGAAGAAGTGTAAAAAGGACGCCACCATGCCAACGACCTATCGCCCACCAAATTAGCATTAAAGACCACGGCATGGTATACTTTCACGGCACATAAAAGATTTTTTACAGGCATACAAAATCTGTTGTTCTATTTCCTTTTCTGCAGTTACTTACATTCACAGTTCTTTCCCTTGTACCCTACGGGACATGTACACATGTAGGTATCCTCGTCAGGTAGGCATACACCACCACTTTTACACGGATTGGGCTTACAAAACTGTCTTTCTGTTAAAAAGGAAATATTCTTAAAGACTGTCTATATTGCAAAGTCGTAGCCTCCCCCACAGGACTGGGGGGAGGGGGAGGGGAAGATGCCCCCTCAGGGACTGGAGGGAGGGGGAAGGGAGCAGTGTCTCCCAGTTTTTCCCAGAAACAAGGATATCAATATCTAGTTAGGATATCAATTACTTTAACCTAACAACTTGGCGGACAAAGAAATCTTACCTTCACAGTTATATCCATGATATCCTATTTTACAGTGGCATTTGTAGCTGTCCTCTGTTTCGATGCAAAAGCCATCGTTTTCACAAGGATTTACTGGTTTGCAGTGATTTTCCTCTGAGAAATGATCATGAGATGTGAATACCAGTAAACATAAAAGTCACAGAAGAAAACCGTAGCAAAGTTGATAGATTCCTGATAAATTCAGGGGCGGATCCATGGGGGTGTCCTGCGGTGCTCCGGACACCCCCTAACGCCGTAAATACGTGTTGCTGCCCAAGAGAGACCAGAATGCACCCTATCAAAACAAACCGTTGCCCTAATTTCATAAACCATAAATGACCTGATTGTTGGCTAATTATTCCTGGAATTACATTTAAATACCAACTGATTACACTTACTTTCACAGGTTTTGCCTCTAAACTCAGGCTGACACAGACAGCGGAACCCAGTAGGCGTCTGGTGACAAGTCCCATCATTCAAACATGGGTCAGAGGTACAGAAGTCTTTTGCTGTAAACAAGAACATACTAAATATCAAGGTATGTGGCTTCAATACAGAAGACTTATTATTTTCGAAAAAGTTCCTTCTCAGTGTATGCTGGTGGTGTAAATATGAATCCAATGACACAGTAGTTAATGGCAGTCAGGACAAGAGGATAGACAAGGGATTTCCTGGGGATCACCCCGGGGATGCTGGTGACAGTCTTTTAGGGACAGGCCGGTGCTGCACAGGTGTGCCAATGACCATAGTCATGCCACATCAGAGCGGGGTGGGATGGAGTGGGTTTGCCAGAATGAGTGGGAGTAATCACTGAGACGGTAAGTTCTACATTCGCAAAGGATGATTGAAAAATTTATAAACGTTCGCGATTGTGGAGCAGTAGCATAAAGAGTCTGGTCACGTGGAACTTGATTAAGGCACCACAAGATTTTCAAATGTGGACTCCACTACTTTCACTTACTATCACATGTATCTCCAATGTATCCAACTGGACAGTAGCATTTAAATCCAAACTCAGTAGAGACACACGTCCCACTGTTATGACATGGATTAGGGTGACAGGCATCTCCTCTCTTCTCTTGTTCACCCTCAAGATACGGTGAAACTGTAGAAAAAGAAAGCTTCATGTCAGTTAACAGTAACAGGAATAAAGAATCAGTAGATTGGTGATTTAGCAATGTTATTCCCGGACTCTCATAGTCGTATGTGAATAGAGTTGTTCCCCGCCCCTTTGCTTCAAAGGTTTTTCTCCAGGTTCTCCAGGTTCTCCAGCTTTTCCTCCCTTCACAAAAATAAATAACTTCTAAATTCTAATTGGAATCCAGTGAAAGAAGAGCCACTCTGTGAAACCAGTGTTAAATCCAAATTACCATTCATGTCAACATGGGAAACAAAAAGTGGTAAGAGTGGAAATAATAGTGTGATTCAGCGATAAAACATTCAAGTTAGATTCCTTACTTTCCTCTGGACACTACATGTAAATACAGTCTTAGCTTAAGAATAGATCTGAGACCTCAATGAGATTTGATAAAGTATCATGAAGAATAAATCATTGTTTTTACCATGGCATGAACAGTCGCGACAACTCCAATGTGCTTTACAGATGCAAGTAAAGCCTTCTACTGTCTCTAAGCAAGTTCCGCCATTCTTGCATGGACCGCTGTAGCAAGACGTGCGCTCTACAAACGCAAAAACAATTACTAATTAAACGTACTGGGTATTAGCATTAATAAGTCCATAATTTGAATTGGGATAAGACTTATGGAATGTTTTGTCTTTGTACACTAGAATATCCTCTTTGGTGGATCTAGTGTACCTTTGGACAAGTCACCCTGTCATTCTTTATTGTCGTACGTATTCAGTTTTTGGACGACCCCCTTGACCTAATGACCATGGCCACATGACCATATTGTAGCAGTATTTGTGCCAGTAAGGATGTTATTTACATGATCATGTTTTATCGAAGATTAAAATGTCAATCCCACCTTTGCAAGTACGTCCTTGAAAACCTGGTGCGCATGTGCATTGGAAGCCATCGTCGAGTTCTGTGCAAGTACCTCCATTATGGCAAGAGTTGTACTTACATTTTGTCTCCTCTAAAACAATATTTATACGATTAAAGACTGCAAAACAATTTAAACCCCCAAGCCGAACAAATAAATCTACTACTCAAAGTGTCGTAAGACATGTTGCAAACGTTGGTCATTCACAGAACCAATCGACGTTTTCCAGTTTCGGACAACCATATGTCGATAAAAATTTGGTGTCATTCCTTCATCGTTTTTTCTCAAGTTTTACTGGTAAGCACGAGAAATAATAGGGTCGTAAATTAGGGCCGTGAGGGAAAGTACAGTTTTTCCTGTAATAACGGTTTCCCTCAGTAAATAAAGTGTATCTAATAATACTCAAGAGAATGACATTTGGTTTGAAGTGCAAGACTGTGAGTAGGTTTTTATCTACTTACCCTGGCAGTTTTGTCCTTTGTATCCATCTTGGCAGGTACACTCGTATCCATTTGCCACTTCAGTACATGAGCCACCATTAAAGCAGGGACTGGGGCGACATCGATCTTTTCTTCGAACTAAATACAAATCAAAACCTTTTTTGTGAAAGCTGCAACCAGGATTCATGGCAATTTTAATTGATTGTTTTCACGGCGGCCATGATGGAGGAACTTAACAAAAGAATTGTCAATGAATTCTTCCGTTATATCCTCCAACATGGCCGCCGTGTCTTTTGTTATTTAATTATGGTTGAAAATCATTAATTAGACTATATAGTTGACTCTGGCTTATTTTATTATGTCTCCAACGTCTTAACACTCAAGAAGGTCTAACATCGGACCGAAACGTCTGTACGATGTCTCAATAAGCCAAGCCAACTAGTCTGATCAAATCCTTTTTTGATGAATTTTTATGATATAATCCTTGCTCTAAGGCGCTTTAGTGGATAGGAAAGCATTACTGGTTCAGATAAGCTAGAAACGGTGCACGTCCAATGATGCTATCAAAGTTTGAAAGAGTGTGTTACTTACTATGACAGTGTTTTCCAGTAAAACCTCGCTTACATATACATTTGTATACAAGTCCAACTCTACGACATCGTCCTTTGTGTTTGCAGGGATTAGGATGGCACGAGAGGAATTGCAGTCCTGGAAGATAAATTTTAACTGATATAAAATTTGCTTAAAAACGTGAACGTCAATGTAGCATAAATTTGTCAATGACAGCGACAAGATGAATGGAATGTGTTCAGAGTTTGTCTGATCTCTCCCGCTTCATTCGAGAGTTTCCTCCAGTTTTCCTCTCTCCGCAAATAAACCCGAGACACTATATTCGATCTGTGAATTAGCTGTGCCTTGACTTTGATAAACCAAATGGCTCTTATACTAAGGTCAAGCGTCTAATAGTCCCCTTCACAGTTCCCTGCACCATCTTAGAAGGTAGCTTACAATGATAGAGACATGCGAATACTTGTCTAAGGTGTTAAAAAAGGTCTCTATCATTGCAAGCTCACCGTTCGTCTTGCTTCGATGCAAAGGCACGGCTACCTTTCAAGATGGCGCAGGGAACTGTGAAGGAGACTATTCCACATGAGCCGAACCTAATGACATCAAACAAGCCTTGTGAAGTTGAACGTTTGAACTGAGCCTTAGTTCTTTCATGATATCGATAAAATTTTTAAGGTTTCCAAGGACGCACAAATGGCTCCTATCATGAATTATATACCACATACCAACCTTTCTTTTTCTCACTGCAGAACCTACATAAAACTCAGTAGATGTAATATGTTCAGAAAATCTACTGTATTCTATTGTCGTTCTATATATTGCATTAGGTGTGATTCATTGTATTTTTATGAAAACATAACATCATCTTGCTACATAGGCTCTCCCTTTCTCTCACCTGCAAATTCCTGTTGCAAAGCATAGTTGGACAAAATGGCTCTCTCCACCTCCTCTTGTTGCATGTTTTCTGTCAATCCCCCAGGGTACTGCTGTGGTATCGTATCATACCGACGAGGCAACATCTCCGGGTAATAAAGATACATCGGCTTCTTATAGGGGGAAAATTTAGCCACATCCTCATTATAATCCATGGGGAATTCATCGTAGGGATTATACGGCATCTGCATATAGTCCATTTCACTAGGGAGACGTCGATGACGATAATAATGGGGGCGGTGGTGTTGGCGATGGTGCAGCATATTCTTACGATATAGTTTTGAGGGGATTGGGTCTTCATAGTTGTCGTAGTGGTTATCAGAGACGTAGGCATGCACAACAGGACCTGAAGATTTTTTCTTTATATCAGAGTATTTCCCATGTGTGAGAGTGTCAAGTCTCTTCCGTCCTGAATTAAGAAGCTTGGTAATGGCTTCTGAGATTGAATGAAGGCGTTTGCCGTTCAGTCTGATTTGGGCATTTTCCTTTTGAATTTCATTGTCGGATGAGTCATCGCCGTCGCCGCTTCCACTTTGCAACTCTACGTCGAGAACACCACTACTGTCGAACTGTTCATCGCCCGTCGAAGAACCAGATGACGCAACGGTGTTTCCCTCACCGCTTGCTACTTCAATTACTTCCTGTGAACTACCAAATTGATTTTTTTCATTTTTTCCACTTCCTGAATCGATACTATTTCTTTTTCTAAAAAGATTGGTTTGGTAACCTGTGTTGTGACCGCCATACGATATGACAGAGTCTGGTTTCAACACAAGCAATACTAAAAAAACTGTGAACAACACAGCGTAAAATTTTGATACCAAGCTCATGTTTCCAAATAAAATTATATTACAAGCTTCTATTCCAAAATTAAGAACTTTCCTTCAAGTTTCCATTCAATCCATCGTCAAAATATTGGTTGCTTTTCAATTTTTTCAGTTGACATTTTTCATGGTTTGACGTGGCGATGAATAGCCCAATTGAAGCGTTGAAACTGCTGAGAAAAAAAGTCCTCTGTTATAAACAACAATACGCAAACCAGTTGAATTATAACCATGTATCGGCGCACCAAGAATACAGCACCTGATCAAAGCCTCTCTGTGTCCGTCTACCACTACCTGGTCACATCTTTAAGAAACAAAGGCTTTGTTTTGAGATCGCCATACATGAAAATTTTAACACTTATTTTGGTCTGGTTCTTATCATATATGGATCAAGAGTATAACAGTGAGCGTCAGGTTAGACGAATCAAATACGATTTTTTTCTTGCATTTGCTGGTGTTCGCATGAATAAATAATATGAAAAACTATGAAGACGACTAAGCTTTTGTTCATGGTGGTATGTATATGGTGGTATAACCCAAATAAATGGTGCCCAAAATGGCACCTAGATTTCGAAATTGGACTTAAATGCAATAGGCCCTTTGCAGCTAAGCAATCACACGCTGATTAATTCACTGAAATGAATGAAAATTTGATTCCCAAACAAACTTTCTACAACCTGTTTTAAGAGATCGTAATAAAACTGCATTTCGTAACACACTGGATACTGGACACTGGATACACATCTTTTCATTCAGTTTTTACAAGTGCTTAAAAAGAATCACCAATGTAATATAAAAACATAAATTTTGCCCTCCAGTACACACTTGATCGTTAACTGCAAAAGGACCTATTTTGCACAGGTCAGAGAAAGTAGTGTTATTTTTGTCCATTTTTCTCATTATAATAGTTTACATTATATAGATATTGTTCTTAGTGAAAATGCCATTTGGAAGCCATGTTGTTCCTAATCTTATAGATGTCTTAAGTTTTTTTCAATTCATTTGTCCACCAGATGTAATGTTAACGAATAGATCTTAAGAAGAACATTTCTGAAGGTGCCCTTTTTCTCTTGTTTTGAAATCTTTACGCATGCCAAAGCTGGTAATGATCATGTATAACATTGTGGTGTAAATCATTGCCCCTTTTCAAAATAAAATAAATACAAATACAAATACAAATAAAGTAATCCCGCTCATCTATGGACACTAAGGAGAAATAAAACTCAATCAATGATTTGCAAAAGAAGGAGAAAAAATATGGAAGAAAGTAGAAAAGAAGGCCGACAGAATGCAGGTTTAAGGAAGGAAGGAAGGAAAAAAGAAAGAAAGAAAGGAAGAAAGGAAGGAAGAAAGCAAAGGAGAAAAAAATCACCCAAGAATCATTTTTAAATGAACGAAAAATGATCATAAAATAGTAAATTGTATCAAGAAAATCCGAGAAAACTTATCCTTCAGTAATTTACAAAAAATTGGAATACGTTTTGAAATATCCGAATAATCGTGGTTGGAATATGTTATATATTTTTTCACATATAGAGAATCTATTCTTGACTCCAGTGTAACTTAACTGTTAATAAATCAGTGACCTTTTTGTGCATCAGCTGAACAAGGAAAAGGCAACAATGGTGCCACCCTGTTGTTCTTGAACTTTGCCACGCGAAACCATCAATCATTAATAAGGAACGAGCACCATTTACTCTTGCTAGCAATTATGTCTAGTGTTTAGGATATATGTTTGTTTTCTTTAGCAAATGAACAACAAAAGTATGAGGTTTTTACTAGGAACTATATTATGTTTCTTTGTCGCTTTGGTTCAAATCGATATCATTAGCAGCAAGAGTTTGACCGAGAAAAAGTTCAGTCGGTTTTCTCACCATGAAAAGAGGTCGCACAATAATCGACATACCGTCAAAAGGAACGCTCACCATAAGTCTACAAAAAGACAGTTTTTACCGTTTTATGGAGGAATGTATTCGTCTTTTAATCACCAATCTCATCCTCATATTCATCGGATTGTCGTTCACCACCATCCTGGTCAGTGAGTACAGTCTGTCATGGCGCGAGTTTCAGTGTAATGATTCAGCGGGCTATAGCTAATTCTAATAATATCCTCTACATACAATATTACAGCCCACTACAATCACTACAATGTCTTGCCATGGTTTTTAATATGTTTTAAAAACTGAAATTCATATATTTTAAATATTATTCATAATATAGATAAGTTATTTTTCAAAGTCAGTGGAAGTTTAGCTGTTGGGGAAAGTGTGATTGTGGTTGTTCTTCGATTCATTTCAAGCAAATTTATTTTCATTGGTAGACTTGAAACGAAACATATCTAATAGTTTGAACTTTTATATCCTGTTTTACTTAGATAACCGTGCGCAGTCTACCGTTAGTTTCATAACCTTTTTTAGCGTAATTATGAAATGATATACGATGTAAGAAATTATTCAGTTCCATAGTTTGCACACTTAAAATCTAGTTTGTGGTCGTTTGTACGCATGGCTGACTCAAAGATAGAGCGCTGCAATAACCGTTATAGGCAGATCTTAAATTCAGGGCATAACTAATTCACTGATCGAACCCTAAAACAACCTCTGGGCTGATCTAAGTCAGTGCACGTCTAATTCACAGATAGAACCCCAAAATATCCTCTGGGCTGATCAATGTTAGGGCATGACTAACTCACAGATTGAACTCTGAAAAAACAACTAGGCTGATCTAAGTCAGGGCGTGGCTATCTCACAGATCGATCTGAAACAATCTCTGGGCTGAACAAATTAAAGTCAATTTAACTCAAAGATCGAATTGGACTTTCGTATTTTGTGCAGAGGGAGGAAAACCGCAGAAAAAACCCTTGAATCAAAGGAGAGAAGTAACAATCTCGATTCACATGTGATGCTCTCGCCTCCTGTACTCTTAGGGCGCTTTCCATGAAGTCAAACAGATAGGTCCGAGCAGCCAGGTCTAGAACTGCTTCGGGCTACGTTGGTCCAGTTCTAAGAACTAAAGCGTGGCATTCGAGAACAGGCCGCTCGGACCGATCGGTTGGACTTAATGAAAAGCGCTCTAAGAGTATAAGTACAGGAGGCGAGAGCATACTATCTCTTCATATTAACAGCATCTCGAAATTGTCAAGTCACCACTCAAAAACAACTTGTCTTATATCATTATAACCCATTCATTCCTCTTCACAAGAAATTGCCTCTATTTATTCAATCACCCGTCGTGCCTTGACAATAAGTACGAGGAGGTTATTGTTTTTTTAGACAACAACCTTCAAAAAGGTCAACCACTTGCCAAAACTTTGGCTTAAGAGCACAACGCGTAAAAGTATGACCACATTTAATGTAATCGCATACTTTAATGCACGAACTTTTCTACTTTACTTACCGATTTTTTTTTGGATTAGGTGGTAAATGCATTAAATGTGGCTGTAAACACAAGTTTTATGAGACAGTCATACAGGTTTTGTGATATTAGCAACACTGGGGCAATTTTTGGTGCCAGAGGAATTGTGATATCATAGCCATTTTGTTTAAATTAGACCCTTTAAAGACATAATGTTTTACACTCATTTGCAAAATCAATGTCGGGTTCAAGACATAGAATATAGAAGCTGAAGAATGGTAACGAAAGATACTCTCGAAAATGACAACAAAAAAAAAAAAAAAAAAAAAAAAAAACAAAAAAAAATTAATTAAAAAAAAAAAAAATCAATCCTCGTAGAAGCTCGGACTATGCACTATTTCGGTCTCAGCTACTATATGTTCTATGTTTATGAACCCGACAAAGATTTTGCAATTCAGTGTAAAATTGTGTTTATTTTATGGTTTTCAGAGCATTCGTTCTGTCAGCCTGAACCGTGCCAGAATGGTGGAACATGTACCGTAGTATCACATGGACATGAATGTACCTGCTCACCAGGGTTCATGGGAACTCATTGTGAATGTATGTATATTACATAAATTTCAATCAGCTCAGAACCTTTTTCTCATTTGAAACTATTTGTTATTTCCTTGAGAAAGATTCCTTCATTCTAGTAATGCTCGAGAAAATACTACTGTATTTACGGTCTATTGGTCATTTCGAGGTTGGTTTATTGTTGATCTGAAATATTTCCAAGATGTTGTCTATTTGGTCCCTTTAAAAAGCCCACAATGCACTGCAATGCCAACTCGACCCAGTCTTTTCCTAACCTAGGAATGGCTAATATATTTGTTTTAGTATAATAAACTTTATTTGACACAGAAATCCTTCAGTAATGACTGATTTACAAAGATGCTGTGACAAAAGTATGACAAAAATTTACAACCAAAGAAAAAACATCTTCTTATTTGATGTGACAAAAAATAGAAAATAATGAGAATTAAGAAATCAAAAATATGTGGATGCAATGTTGTTTTACAACCAAAAATATGTTTTGCTACGGACAACCAACATGGTGGCCATGATCTGCCATGCATCCTAAAAATAGCGCATCTAAAATCGGGCAATAGTGATTTTACTTCAGATACAGTGCATGTATCTGCAATTTTGAATAAGACATCAGAGAAACGAACTAATTTCAAGCTATTACCATTTCGTTCCATAAGTAAGAAGCCAGTGTGAGCCAAACCCGTGCAAGAATGGAGCCACTTGTTATGATGTAGGTCAAGGCTACGAGTGCACATGCGCGAAAGGATTTAAAGGAGACAACTGTGAAGGTAAAAAAGATAAATCTCCCAAAACGTATCCCAAATTTGGTGTCAATGTTTAATAATACCAAGAAAAATTTTAAGGAGAAAAAAAAGTCTATTAATAAACGCATTCTCCTTATTAAAGAAAAGAAGAAAAAAAAATCAAGATTGACGTAACATTTTTATGGCTTCGACTTACAGCTAGGTATTGGTTGCAAAGGTTACGTTATTACAATGAAAACTATTATTTATCGTGAAAAAATAGACCCCTCGGAATGAAGCTCAATTTGGAGGGCAAATTAATAGGGTTTCCAATTCTCTGGAGGTCAAAATTCGCTTGCACTGTCCTACAAATTGAGCTCCTTTGACGCCACATGCAAAAAAACTGATAATAATTATTCTTTTGACGATCCGGACCGCGACGTTTCGACTGCAGACTGCTAGTTTTCATCAGGCGATGGTATTGACTTGATGATGTGTCAGTTATATACGTAATTCTATACGTATGTAAATGGAAAAAACCCCTTCGAATTGAATACGAACTAAATCATATAATATTGCTTTGCAGATATCAACAAGTGCCATCCTAACCCTTGTCGTAATGGCGGAATGTGCACTGGAACAAACAATGCAAAGGGGTATGAATGTACATGTAGAGAAGGCTTCAAGGGGTCAGACTGTGAAGGTTAGTAATCAGAATAGAACAAGACATTTCCACAGTATAAAGATTCCAAGGCTCAAAGTTTTAAATTTCCAAACGTAGTATCTTATTGACCTTATTACATCCATATATAAACATTAAGGGAGGTATTTATAGTGGTAGAGTGAAGGAATATGACACAATAATATGATTTTGACGGATTTTATCGTTGTTTCTTATATTCAATGTACACTGCTTTGTATTTTTTCTTTCCAGAAATAAACTTATGCGTTCCAAGTCCGTGCAAAAATGGCGGTACGTGTACAGAGAGGGGTGGTGGTAGATATGAATGTACCTGTCCTATTGGGTTCAAAGGTGTCACTTGTGAAGGTAAAATAAACTATATTGCATTTGTTGCTATTGGTAACCGTCAGCCATTACCATTGCTCCCGGCCATCATGAACATGTACACAGTTCCCTGCGCCATCTTGAAAGGTAGCCGTGCCTTTGAATCGAAGCGAGATGAACGGTGAGCTTGCAATGATAGAGACCTTTTTTTAACACCTTGGACAATTATTCACAAGCCGTATCACTGCAAGCTCACCGTTCGTCTCGCTTCGATGCAAAGGCACGGCTACCTTTCAAGATGGCGCAGGCAACTGTGAAGGAGACTATTGGTCTTGCAGTACTAATGGAAGACTGGACAGTGATTTGTGGCATACTGTTTGAATAGGACATTTGCATGTGTTGGCGTCATTGACAATACAATAATACAATACATCTTTATTCGCATTTCCTTTTACGTTAAATTACATTAAATTCTATATTTAGATCATTGAAAAGAAAATACTTATTTAGTAAAATAAATAAAGCTAAATATAGGTTGTAATGAGAGGAAATGCCTAGAGCCTAAATAAAAAATATATTTTGACCTCTACTACCAGACTCCCTTGCACTCTTTCTTTTGTTCAGTTAATTAGCACCAATTGTCTTGCTATTCTCATGAGGGAATACAAATTTAAATAGGAAAGATAATTCGCGAAACATGGTAGTGGGAGCCAAATGACGCCATCATGGAAACGTCCTATTGAGAATGAGTTAATTTTCTGATACCACTATTATTGCACTGGATTCTATAGTAGAAGAAACTCATGACTTTACAAGCTTAAATGTTAACTTTTTGCCATTAAGAAAAGCATTTATCAGGTATTATTGAATCATTTTAGAGCGAAGCATCTGTTTTTCGAACCCTTGCCTTCATGGTGGCTCTTGCGTCGATGAAATGTATGGTTATCGATGCTCATGCAGACTTGGTTACAATGGCATCAACTGTCAAAGTAAGCCCTTACTCGTATTATATTCTATATATTTAGGGTATTGAAATCAATTCTCTACTCGAGTTTATTTGTCAAAAGATACCTAATTATGATTGGAGGGTGATCAGTACGAGGCGGAGACCCTTAGGGAGCTGTGCATACTTAGTGGACGTCACTAACCTATGAGGGCATTAGTAAACTAATCACTTTTAATAGGTTGCAACAAACAGTCACGTGCTGATATATGACTTTGATAACGAATCAATTTAGCTCAAGGTCCCTTGGGGTAGACTTTACTGGATGGCAAACAAGCTTTAAAATGCTTCGTATCTTGACATCGAAAGTACTTTATAAGGAAAAAAGTATTTTTGAAAAAGTTTTGGATACGACATTATTAATCCAGCAAAAAAATATTTAAATAAAGGAAGCCCAATTTTTTTTTGCCAAACCGTAACAATCACGTGTCAATCTATTGCAAAAGGCCTATTGGATGGCAAATTGTGTGGGTGTGTTTTGTCCAGCTGATCTGAAATAGTGACGTAGAAATGACATCACTGCAAAGCTGAGGTGTCATGAAGCCTGCAAAAACTGACCAGCGAAAAATGAAATATGCTCGCAGAAATTATGACTTATTTATCATTTCGCCACTGTGATCATTTTACTAGCCATCGTCTTCCACGTGACTTTCTTATATCATAAGGTTTTTCTCTCCCACGGTATTATCCGCTTTGCCTCCCATGTCTGCGTGGGTTCAAAGTTTAGACTAATACCCATATTCTCATGTATCTACTCAAAAATTGGTGTAAAAACTATTGATTTGCATTTGTCCACCCTATGGCCACATTTAATATGCATTTTACACAGATCATGTATGCAGCCCCAATCCTTGTGAAAATGGCGGGAACTGTCTAGAAGAAGAAGGACATGCGCACTGTGTTTGTCAGACTGGATACCACGGTGCTCACTGTGAAAGTAAGTATCACCATAACCAACTAAAATAAGGTTGTCTCTGACTAAAAATGTCTTAAATTATTGGACGTTTGGGTATCGGAATTAAAACCTTCATCAGCATCAAGAATTGAAATAATACTTCCTTTTCTGGAACATGTTGCATTGTGGTCTAGCTTGGGTACAGACATCTTTTGTTTATCATGCCTTATATGACAGAACTCTAACTCTAATTTAGAGTTGCTGTCTTAGGAGGCAGCATGGTCGAGTGGTCATAGCGTCGGACTCGCACCGGTGGTGCCGGGTTGGAGTCCCGCTGTGGCCACTAGCTGAGACTGTATTTGTCCTGATTCCTGATTAGTTCAGATTCAGATCTCGACCATGCTTGTAAATAGCCAACTGGTTTGCCTCCTTGCCAGTTGGGATTTTCTAACAGTATTATGTTTATATTTATCTATTTCAGTTTCTAATTTGTCTCCCCAATTTGCTCTGAAAGCTAAATACATTAAGACGTAAATAAAGTGGATTTATTTTTTTATTTTATTCTATTTTTTCCCCTTCAGTGGTCAGCGCATGCGTATCACATCCCTGTCTCCATGGTGGCACGTGCATCGATACGTCATTTATCGGTCATAGACCCACGGATTCATCTCTTATGTATGGTTCTGTTGCTGTCAGACCTAATTCCCAGTCTTTCATTTGTAAATGCCAGTCTCCATACGCTGGGCCTATGTGTGAAGGTATTATACAAACGTTATATAATTTAATGGTTATCCGTTATAACGATGTTTGCAATCATTCCCGACCTAGCCTCAGCCTCCTCCAAACCCCCTCCCGGCCCAACCGTTCATATGTAATATGCTATGTTGGCCAAAACATTTTTTGTCCATACGTACCCCAAACTTCAAGCGCTTCAAATCTGGCAGTTTATCCAAAAATAAACAAATGTTTTTTATTCCATAGCAATACTTGAGATTGAGAAACGGTCGCAGTGACCTTTTTTAAAAAGAAAGAAATAATATTTTTGTAAATAAATTGTGCTTTATTTTCTAATGTCTCAATTATGCTTGTTTTGTAGATGATCGTTGTAAATACTGCAGTCCTCACGCAGATTGCATCCTGGGACACTGTGTATGTAAAGAATCCTATCATGGAGATGGCAAAACATGCAATAGTGAGTTGGAAAATACTCGTCAAAAGTGTTTGCTTGAATAGAGGTTTTGCACCATCACATGACGGCAGCCATGTTAGATGGCAGGAACAATACAATCGTTTTACATAAGAAAGAATTCAATTCCCGAGAGCAAAGGGATTTTATTGTTCTGACATCTAACCACAAGCAGCTCAAGCTGTATTATTGGCGTAGGCACGTGATGGTGCAAAATCTCAATTGGCAAGTTTGATTACATACTTAGTTTATATCACCAGAAAATGTGTGCCATCCTAATCCATGCAAGAACGGTGCATCATGTATTCCTGCTGATAGCTCRTTTGACTGTGAATGTGTGAAGGGATGGACAGGACCGTTGTGTGAAGGTATGAAGAAAGTTACGGCATTGCATAATGATTACTATAATTGGCATCTGTGCTACGGTTTGTTATTCTACGCCTTTTGATCTCAGAAGCAGCTCAATTTGGGTTCCACCAAATACATTATTTAGCGTTTTCTCACTGAAGCCATACACCCAGGCGTCTGAAAGATGTAGAGGTTTCAGGAGCATGAAAACTTTGTAAAGTGCGACGCATATTCTTCATAATTTATTAACGTAAATGGTTTCCCAGATATCTCGAGATCGTATTTTCGAATGCTCCAGTGTTGATAACACTTAGCACTTTCCTTGATCTGCAAAATTATTTTGGATTAATATTGACTTCAGTATGTCATTGTCATAAAACGCTCTCCTCTCACCTCTGAGGTCCGGGGTTTGAATCCCAGTCACCCCATGTGAGCTGAGTTGGTTGGTTCTCTTTCTGAGTCCAAGGACTCTTCCGGTCCTTCGGTTTTTCCTCCCACCCAAACCTAACCAAATCAATTTTTTTAGACAGAACTGTGCTCCAGGGTCATACATGACTGTATATCGGCTACCAGAGGCGCCCTCACATTGATTACAGTTCGACCCCCTTGAGCTGCGCCACCGCCGTACTTGTGGTGGTGATTAGCGATGACAAGTTTTCTTTTCTTCCTGCGTATTTTTTTCTAGTTAAACAGTATTGCGTCCCTAATCCATGCCAAAATGGTGGCCAATGTGTAGCACTGGAAAGCAGTTACAAATGCATTTGTCTCAGCAACTTTGAAGGCAATAATTGTGAAAGTAAGTACTGGGGATACGAATGTTTTAATAGGAGATAAAGCACTTTCACCTTCACAGCTTGGGTATAATGTTTTCCTATTTCAGACAACTTTTCATTTCCTTTAATATCATTTCTTTGTTTAATGCTTACGCGTGAGAAGACATGCAAATGAATCTGAATATGACTCAGAGAGAATGACAGGTGGTCTGTGTCACATAACATGTGCATTTATTTCTCAGAGGGCAATCCATGTTACCCTAACCCATGCAAGAATGGAGGGACCTGCCTGGAGATGAATGGTGCTGCAAACTGTGAATGTGAAGCTCAGTTCGAGGGAAACATGTGTGAAAGTAAGTTGAGTTCTTGACTATCTTTAATGAAGATGATATTGTTAGGCTAGTCTTTACATGGGACTCTGGTCCTGTTGACCATGCCCTCAATTAGATATTAACATCTGGTTGTAAAGTTTTTAAATAAAAGAATAAATAAAATATCTTCTTTGTGATACAGGGTCAATTTGTATGGCACCATCAGGAAATGATCGCTTGATAAATTTATTTTATCCCAGACGCGATATAACTCGATTTTATTATATTAAGTGGCATCAAACTTAAGAATCCCCGCCAGTCAAGGCCAATCATTCTTTCCCAATTTCCCTTCTGTGTAGGGCGGGGGTAGAAAGAAGGAGTGATAAGAACCAGGCCTCTCTGTATTGGTTTAGCCATGGATAAATAGGTGACTCACGACAATGTTGTTTCTGTCTTAGTTGACAAATGCGCCAGATGCGACTCCCATGCGTCATGTGTTAATGGCAAATGTGTGTGTAACGAGGGATATGAAGGTGATGGGGAGACGTGTACAGCTAAAACTGGTCCAGGAGGATCCCCGGGAGGTAAGATCTCTGAAATCAGAAACTCAAATCATGCGGCGTCAATGCTTGAATGCCTTTTATTCTACCATGTAGCTACATACTCATTGCAGCGCTTTTCAAACAGTTGCAGTTGCAGTTGCGCCACAAACGACACCAACTCAAAACAATAATCTAGGTTTACCTGCAAGACCAGGGCCTCCTGTTGCAGCTCCGCCATTAAACGTAGGCTCGCCTGGGAGTACGCCGGTAGTTGGTGGTGCTCCAGGAGGCTCGCCAGGTGGTGCCCCTAAGGGCAGCCCTGGAGGTGCCCCGGCAAGTTCCCCTGGTGTTGCCCCAGGAGGATCGTCGGGTGGTTCTCCTGGTGCTCCAGGAGGATCCCCCGGTGGTGCCCCTGAGGGCAGCCCTGGAGGTGCCCCGGCAAGTTCCCCTGTTGTTGCCCCAGGGGGATCGTCGGGTGGTGCTCCTGGTGCTCCAGGAGGCTCGCCAGGTGGTGCCCCGGCAAGTTCCCCTGTTGCTGCCCCAGGGGGATCGTCGGGTGGTGCTCCTGGTGCTCCAGGAGGCTCGCCAGGTGGTGCCCCTGAGGGCAGCCCTGGAGGTGCCCCGGCAAGTTCCCCTGTTGTTGCCCCAGGGGGATCGTCGGGTGGTGCTCCTGGTGCTCCAGGAGGCTCGCCAGGTGGTGCCCCGGCAAGTTCCCCTGGTGTTGCCCCAGGGGGATCGTCGGGTGGTGCTCCTGGTGCTCCAGGAGGATCCCCTGGTGGTGCCCCGGGTAGGTCTCCTAGTGGTTCCCTTGCTGATTCCCCCGGTAAATCTCCAGCTTCCACCGAAGAAAAAAACCAAGAATCATCGTGGTGGTGGCCTTTTTAACTGGAAAGACACAGAAAACTCATCATGTTGACTGGGAAGCACCTCAATCAAGACAAAATAACTAAACTTGACAGACGATGACAACGTTAACCTTACACGATAGCCACGCATGCTTATATTCTATTTTATCTTCTTTTTTTCTTTATATCTTATGGCTCTTGTGTACACTTTAATGTTTTATGTCAAACTTTATTTATGGAAACAGCTATTACCAAAAAGCTAATCCTTCTTAAAAAAAATATATGGCTTTATGTTGCTTTATGTTGAGACATGCGATAAGTAGGCAATAAATATGCATAGATAATAATGTTCGCATGATAAATTAAGATGGTATGTAAACGAACTAATGCTAAGCGATTATTTTCATATGCTAAGATAATGTTAGGTATATTTGTATCATTAGAATCCACCAACATGATAAACCGACATTGATCGTGCATCATTATTTTTGCTTATTTATGATGATTGGACTAATGATACAGCATATTGTATAGATGCATTCAGTGCATATTATTAGTACATGGTTTGCTTTGGATTCTGGTGGTATGTTACACATATACTAGCATGTTGAAGGTAGCCTATGCAAATGATATGAATTGAGCTAACGATCAATATTTTATATTAAAAAGCAATCCATAAATAAATGCATGGATGAAGCACATAAGAGAATGAATAATGAAATGAAAATTGATAAAGTTTAGAATATAAAAAAATAAAATAGAATAAACACTGGTAAAATAGGTTAAGAATATGAGACATGCAGTAATAAAGATTGAGCTAACGATCAATATTTTATATTATAAAGTAATTCTTAAATTGAAATTATATATTGTAACAATAAATTAATGTATGGATGCAAGACAGGAAGCAAATAAAAGGATGAATGATGAAATGAAAATTGATTAAGTTTAAAATAAAAAAATTAAATAAACACTGGTAAGTTAAGAATATGAGACATACTGTAATAGCAACGGGCTGTTTTTACTTTGCACGTGATGATTCTCCTTCTAGACCTTATAGCTTCACTACGGGTATAAATAATGTAAGACGAAACGCAAGGGTGCTCTTCGCGATGCTAAAGCCACAGGATAACTGCTGCTCATGTCTTTTAACTAAGTCAAGCAGAAGCCTGTTTAAATAATAAACGAATGCATAAAAAAGGAATTACTTATTTATCTAATCTAGACCACTTTATTTCTTCCTTTTCCAGACGTTATTTTATCTTCATTCTTCTAAAAACTCTTTTTCATGATATCATTCTCAAATCCGAGCTCAATACAAATATTAGACTATTTACATATACATTCATTTATTTATTTTACGAAATTTTGAGGATCTTTCTATATACTATATTAAAATATTTTAAATATTCATTTATTATTTTTTGTTATTTTGTTTTATCTTATCTTTTGTTTTGCCTGTCAAGAGAAAATGTTCATATTCTCTTGGTAATATATGTTATTATTCTTTCGTTTGTTCGTTTGTTTCGTGTATATATCGTTCGTTCTTTCGTTTTACTCGTAAATTCTTATCTCTTTATCAAGATGTCCTCTGATCAAGATACTTGAAAAATACTCATGATCAAGGGAATTGACATGTAACCAAACTGTAGCTTGGAAAAAAAACCTCTTTACCTTCGTTGTTTGTTATCCCATTTCAGACCATGTGATGTCACTCTTGGGAGTTGATTCTTTCATATGTAAATATTTTAAATGTTCGTCATGAAAGTGCAATTCTCAGGAGAATGTCACGTGGTCTGAAATGGGCAATTTGCATACGGTAGGYATAGAGGTCCATTAAACAGTAATTACATTATATATCGAAGCATTTTCGACCCTTAATTAAGGTAAGTTCCAAATAGATTACAATTTAAACCCAAAGTACTAACGTTGATTCTATATATGTTTGTTAGTTGTTGGTCGTACCAGCGCATGCGCGTCCAATCCCTGTCAGAACGGAGGAGTTTGTCTCGATACAGACAATGGTTTTACTTGTATGTGCAAAGAAGGTTTCAAAGGTACCCTCTGTGAGCTGGGAACCGGAACAGGTATGATGAACCAATGCCTAAAATAACTAGTTAACAATTTGAACCGCAGCCCGACGGAGTTAATCGGCCCAATGGACTTTTGACTCATAGTCCTTGAGGCGAGAGGTCTAACTGCTTTAGTATAAACCTACTAATTGGTCAAATAAATGGACGCAAAAATTGTTAAAAAAATCAAAAAAAAAAAATCATTGTTTTGGTTTTTGTCAAAACCATCACTTTTTGCTGTTAGTGTGCTATCGATAAGAAACCATACAAAACCATAGTATGCTAAACCATTAGCTATTATGCTATTATTTATTATTGATATATAAATATATAATCAATTAATATTATTGTCCATATGAATACTGGTTCCCCGTTTGTATCAGCTTTACTCACACACATTACCAATACATTTAGTATTCTATGCATACTCTCAACTCACATGGTGATCGTGTTTTAGTTAAGGCAAGGTGTCATGGGAAGCAAGGGGTATACGCAGTCGTGGGTTAGGGATGGATGTTTCATATGAAAGTTATTCCAATGATTTTGCTTGTCGTTTTGTTTGGATGTCTAGGTGCTTCAGATCCATGTACCCCAAATCCATGCAAAAATAATGGCAATTGTCAAAACGTGGACGGTAAAGCGAAGTGCTTGTGTGCTGAAGGCTTTCAAGGAGAATTATGTGAATTGCCTATAGGTAAAATAAGCTGGTTAAAGCTTGGATTTTGATAAGCAATAGATAAATAAGAGCAACAACTGCATATATGAGCAAATCTACAATACATTGTCAAATGCAAAAAGCAAGTGAAATGGTGATTGGTAATGATGATAATGATAAAGAAACGAATGATGGTAAATGCAATAACATTTAATGTAGCACTCAATTGAGTCATGAGGTGACGATAAAAAAAAACAATGGTGATAACCATGGGGATGATGATGATAAAAATACATAATAATAAAAGTGATGATAGTGATGGTGATGACGATGATAGTGATTGTGATGATGATTATATTGTGATGATATTAATAGTGATAATGATAGTAATGATGATTTTGATGATGATAATGTTAATGATAATTATGATGGTGGCGATGCTACTGCTGCTGCTGATAATTATGATGATGATATTATGTTGAAAATAATAATTAATTAATGTACGAAAATTGCTAATTCAAGCTGACTATGAAAAGAGTTCAATAGACATCTAAAGCGTGTTATTCAAATTCATTTTACATTGCTATGAGTTTACATTGCTATGATATGACTTCGACTTGTTTATTAGTGAATTGTGACGCCCTTCCGACGCCTAGAAAAAACCTGAGTCGAATTGGTATTGCAATGGATTGTGGAATTGTTTTGAAGACATACTTCTAACATTACATCTATTTCGTCCCCTAAGACAATCCCACAATACACTGCAATGCCAAATCGACCCAGTGTTTTCCCCAAACCTAGTCTCGGAATGACTAATGCACCTGAAGATGTTTGCTCAACAGAGGAACAGGACAACACAATATGTAAACTAACCAACTAAACTGAGGCCAAAAGGTAGCAAAGATATTTATGTGTTTGGAGAAGCATCTCCCCGGCTACCATTATGTTTGTGTTCCTGTCAATGTCCAGGAAATAAGGTATACTCTTTATTTTCCAGGTACCGGAGGTCCCGATGGCGGCAAGTCAAAGTGCCATCCTAATCCTTGCCTTAACGGCGGAGCGTGTCATGAAAATGGTGGAGGTTACGACTGCGTTTGCCTGCCCCAATACAGTGGACCGAACTGTGAAAGTAAGCACGTGATTTTTGTGTACTATTAATAGACCCCTTGCATGTGACGTCAAAGCAGCTCAATTTGGAAAACAAAACAAAACAAAACAATGTATCAAGAGAATTTGATATCTATTCTCTACTTTCACATCCCCATAATGCCTTGCGTTTTTGGGGGGTAACCAATCAAAAAACTGTCCCAAATTGAAAGGTTTCTTAATTGAATTTATACTATACCTGCTTTTATATGTACAATACTGATTATCAGTTTATTCCAAGTTATTTTTGCGTGTACAGATCATGAAGGGTTTTGGTCTTACAGAAAATGTATTGACTTACGAAAATATGTTTAAAATTTACCTTAAACGTCTTCAAGCTTCTATCTTTTTCTGTTTTTTACTTCTTCATTTTATTTTTGGATACCAAACAAGGTATTTTCAACATTGTCTGATCAGCCTTCAGCAAAATAAGTTGGTTTTTACCTTCTGGTTACCCCCCAAAGACGCAAAGGATTATGGGGATGTGAAAGTCGAGAATTGCGATGTTCTCCAGATTGAGCTGCATTCCGACGTGCTGCAAGGGATCTATAGTCCTCACGTGTCATCTCTTGTCCATATTCATGTGTCTTTTAACGCGCAACCGTTAAACAAAGAAACGATACTCTAGGGAATGACACGTGGTCTGAAATCGGAACTTGGACATTACCCTAAAGCTTAACAAATATTTTATGGGTTTCCAAATTACTCAGAAATAAATGATCTTACATGGCCCCTCCTAATATTCGACACTTTTTTTTCAGTCGACGAGTGCGAAAAATGTGACGTGAATGCAATCTGTGTCCGTGGCAACTGTAGATGTAGAACAGGATACATTGGAAATGGATACGAGTGCGAAAAAGGTGGGATCGATTTTTTTTCTGCATGGAAATATATGTTTTGAAACAAGGTGATTGCGTTCGTTCTCAATAATACGCGCATGGTGTTAATCTGGTAGACGTTATGTAAAATGTTTCTAATCAATTGTGCAATGACTAAAAGACAGTGCATAACTTGTCCCGACGACTTATTTGCGTGTTATTGAGAAAGAGTGGAATCAGAATAAAACGAACTATAAAGAATAGGATATGAAAAGTAAAGTAAACAAAGGAAAGGGAAGAGAATAGAATAGAAGAAAAGAGAAGAGAAGAGAAGAGAAGAGAAGAGAAGAGAAGA